TGGTTTAATTTATTAAAAAAAAACAATGGGGATCAGGAGAACAAGTCAGCTGAATCTTTCTATAAAACAGGATTTGTTATTCTTTATCATATTTTAAACTGTGTTATATTTGATACATACAAAATAGATGCATTATTAAATATAATTCTACCATTTATATGTATACTACTAAACAATATATCATTAGCTTTTATTGTTTGGCTTTATATAAAAAGGTATCATACTGCATTTCCTCTGCAACTTGCTTGTATCACACAAGTTTGTTTTAAATTTGGGCTATTGAGTAACATTAGAGTTTATTCTTTTATACTGGTGAATAACATCCATTGCATAAGCATTACAGAATGTCTTTCTCCATTCCATGGTAAATGAACACTAGAGTTACTTTAAGTTTTGTTCATGATAAATAATGCTTTCTGCTATAAATATTCAGGTACATGATTCCAGGTGTACAAGTGCAGTAATAAGTATGTATCTGGAAGTGTAACCATTGGGTAGAAAGTATGTGGATATTTATTTTTACATGACATTAACAAACTGTTTTTTCAAAGTGATTGTACCATTTTATACTTCCACCAATAGTGTATAAGAAATTACAATTCTCTATATCCTCTGACCAAGTGAGATTGTCAAATTCTCAATGTTTGCTTCTGTTGAGGTATAACATACTATTCTATTGTGATCTTAATTTGCATTTCTTGATACTAACAAAACTGACCTTATTTTTATGGCCATTGGTATTTCCTTGTGTAAAATGCTTGTTCGAATAGGTTGTCCATTTTTTTATTCTGTTTTTTCTTATCTTTATCTTAATTACTGAAAGAAGTTTGGTACATTTTTTCATGTTTGCCAAATATCTTCTCCAGATCTGTGGCCTCTCTTTTCAAATTGCTTTTGGTATCTTTACATAAACAAAAATTCATCAACTTTGTATATTCAAGTATTTTAGTTACTACATAAAAAGTAATTCATTTTTTTATATATTGGCCTTATATCTTATGTTGCTAAATTCAGTTATCTCTAACAGTTTTCTTTGTAGATTATGATCTCCCTCATAAAGCTCATGTTTTCTGCAAATAACTATAATTTTACCTCTTAATTTTCAGTCCTTATTGCATGACTTTATTACTCTTTCTTATCTTATTACACTGGCATTTATTTGTTACTGAGTTTATTTGGATGACATTGGTTAATAAAATTATATAGGTTTCAGGTATACAATTCTACAGTGCATCATCTATATGTTGTATTATGTGTTCACCACCCCAAGTCAAGTCTCTTTCCATCAACATTTATCCCCCCTTTATCATCTACCTCCCCTCAACCTTTTTCCCTCTAGAAATCACTGTTGTCTGTATTCATGATTTCTCCTTAAAGCTTTACAGTTTTATCTCTTACTTGTAAGTCTTTGATCCATTTTTGAGTTAATGTTATGTCTGGTATGAGACAGGAGTCCAAATTTATTTGTTTGCATGCAACTATCCATTTGTCACAGTATTATTTGTTGAAAAAAAATTCTTACCCCACTGAATCACTTGGCACCTTGTCAAAAGAAAATTAACCGTAAATGTAAATGTTTATTTCTGGGCCCTAAATTCTATTCCATTGATTTGTATCTTTATCCTTATGCATGTAAAATACAGTCTTAATTACTGTAGATTTGCAGTGAGATTTGAAATTAGTGTAAGTATTGAGTCTTTTTTTTTTCAGTACTGCTTTGACTATTCTGAGTTCCTTTCATTTCCATATAAATTTTCAAAACAGCATTAAATTTTTGCAGAAAAATGGCAGCTGAGATTTTGATCTGACCTGTGTTGAAGATGTAGATTAATTTGGGAAGTATTGCCATCTTAACAGTATTATCTTCCAATTGATGAAAACTTTCCACTTATTTAGATTACCTTTAAATTCTTTCAAAGATATTTTATAATTTTTTCACTTCTTCACGTGAATGGTGAGGGATATTTAGTAAGAACTCTCCTTTTTGGCTGGTCAGAATTCTCTGCTTCTTAGAGATATCTGAGATCTCAGTTCAGCTCATGCCGTTCCCCAAAACGTTCTTTGCCAGCCTTGCAAAGACTACTCTGCAAGCAGAGTAGAGTATTCAGTCCAAGATGAGAGGAGCCCCAATGTTAACTTTTAAAATGACCTGCCCCCCATCTCCCTTAGCTTTTGCCACATATTCTAACTACCCCCGCAACCCCAAACTCAGATCTCTGTTTTCTTCACCTGGTATTCTCTCTCTTTTGGGGTCTACTCAAAGATGCAATTTGAAAATCATTCCCAGTCAGAAAATTAGATTGAATATGGAGTTCAAATCATGCGTGTGTGTCCCTTCTCTCAATAATCACATTGCTGCATTGTCTATTGTCTAATATCTGAAAACTCTTGCTTTATATTCCTTGTCCAGCTTTATAGTTTTTACCAAGGGGATGTAAATCTGGTGGTTTCTTATGGCCAGAGCAAGAAATTTCTAGAATTTATGTTTTTAGTTTATTCCATATAAAATTATAGAATAAGCTTATTAAACTTGTATCAGAGTAAAGCTGATTATAAGTGCATTGACTTAGCATAATAGTCTCCAATTCCAACCATGCTGTTGTACAAGGTAGGAGTTCCTTCTTTCTGCTACATAGCATTCCATTGTGTAAATGTACCACAGTTTTCTAATCCACTCATCTACTGATGGGCACTTAGGCTGTTTCCTGCACTTGGCTACTGTAAATCATGCTGCTATGAACATTTGGATGCAGAAGTTCTTTTGAATTGATGTTTTGGGATTCTGAGGGTGTATTCCATTGTTGGGTCAAAAAGTAGTTCCATTTTTAATTTTTGGAGAAAAAACTCCATACTGTTTTCCACAGTGGCTGCACCAGTCTGCATTCTCACCAAGAATGCACTAGGGTTCCCTCTTCTGTACATCCTTCAACACCTGATGTTTGTTGATTTATTAATGATAGCCATTCTGACAGGTATGAGTTGATATTTCATTGTGGTTTTAATTTGCTTCTCTTTGATGCCTAGTGATGTTGAGCATCCTTTCATGTGTCTATGGGCCGTCTGTATATTCTCTTTGGAGAAGTGTCTATTCAGGTCCTTTGTCCATTTTTTAATTGAATTGTTTGTCTTTCTCTTGTTGAGTAGCATGAGGTCCTTATATATTTTTGAGATTAAATCCTTGTCCAGTGTATCAGTGGCAAATAGGTTCTCCCATACAGTTGGTTCCCTTTTCATTTTGCTGATGTTTTCTTTAGCTGTGCAGAAGCTTTTTCCATTTGATGTAGTCTCATTTGTTTATTTTTCCCCCTTATTTTCCTTTCAAAACAATTTTTTTTTCCAATAAATCTCCTACCTAGGATATCCGAAATTTTACTGCCTGTTTTTCGCTAGGACTTTTATGGTATCATAACCTATATTTAAGTCTTTTATCCATTTTGAGTTTATTTTGATGTATGGTGTAAGATGGTGGTCTACTTTTATTTTTTTGCATGTACCAGCCCAGTTCTCCCAACACTATTTATTGAAGGAAATATTTTTACTCTATTGCATGCTCGTGTCCACTTTGTCAAATATTAATTGACCATAGAGACCTGGGTTTATTGCTGGGCTCTCTATTCTGTTCCATTGATCTAAATAAGCCAGTCAGTGAAAGACAAATACTTGTAAGAAGAATCTAATGAACAAAATAAACGAATGAACAAAATAGAACCAGAAACATGGAAACATGGAAGAGCCTGACAGCTCTCAGAAGGGTGGAAGAGGGGGGAATGGTGGAAAGAAGGGGAAGGTATTAGTCAAATGACATATATGAACGACCCGTGGGCATGGACAGCAGTGTGGGGAGTAACTGTGGAAGCGGCAGTTGGGCTGAGCAGAAGAGGGCAAATGGGAAAAAACTGAGACAACTGTAATATGATAAACAATAATAATAAAATAAAATAAAATGATCACATTAAAAATAAAAATAAAAGTGCATTGAATCTATGGATTAAATTTAGGAGAATTGATATCTTTACATTGGATCTTCCAATGTAAACATAATTCCTAAGTAAACATAAGGAATTGGATTTTTTCCCAGCTTTTCAATAAAGCTTAAGATTTTCGTATATTAAATCTTACAATTTTTTGTGGATTTAACAAGATGACATTGTTACTTTTGCCTTTTTAAACAGTTTTTTAAAAAATTTTTTGTTGGTACATGGAACTGTAACTGATCTTAAAGATGTGGCTAAACATTTTTGTTAGTTATAAAATTTTTTATATTGATCTTACCTACATTGCTGAACTCTTATTAATTATAATCATTTGTATCTAGATTATTTCATATTTTCTTTTTTATCATAAAAAACAGTTATTTTATCCTCTTTTTGATCCTTATACCATTTATTTCTTCTCTTCTGTCTTACTTCTAACAACACATTGTTATATAGAAATAATGAACTTTAGGTCTGAATCACTAATCTCAATCCTAATACTGGTATTTGCCATACGGGCAATCTTGGATTTTGACACAGGTTCCAATTTTATTTCTGAGTTATTCTTTTTTTTTTTAATCCTTATCCAGGGATTTTTTAAATTGATTTCAGAGAAGGAGGAAAGTGGAGAAGGGGAAGAGAGAGAGACATTGATCAGTTGCCTCCTGTATATACCCCAACCAAGGATGGAACACACAGCCTAGTAATGTGCCCTGACTGGGAGTTGATCCTGCAGCCTTTTGGTGTATGGGACAATGCTACAACAAAATGAGCCACCCAGCCAAAGCTGATTTATTTTTTATTTACTTTGATCTCAAAATGTTCCTTTACTTTTCATGAGTACAGCAATGTAGTAACAAATGTGTTTTTTCTCATCTCTAGATATTTTTAAAGATAGATATCAGTATTTCAAGGTATCTGATCTATAGTACTGGCAGTAATAGATATAGTTTTATGAAAATAATTTTGATAAAAAGGGTTCTTTGACAATTATTTTTTTCATAACAAAATTTATCTCTTTCGTAGGAACTGGTGTGCTTATGTACATACCAGATTGCTTCCCACAGTGATTCTGGACAACCCAGCTACTTATGTTCCAAGTGGGAGAGGGCTTTGTGGCTGGAACAGTGGATTCTGTCCCAAGAGGTATGTAATAGTTTTTGAAAATAGTAATTTCTTACATCATAATCATGTATGACCTGAAATATATAAAGTTAATATTACAGATACATATGTATAGTAGGATCATCACATTAAACTAGATGCATGATCTTGAATAAGTAAAATACAGATTTCAATAATACTTGCCTAAAAAGGGTGTTTTTACAATATGTGAAATAATGCAATGATATGCTTATGCTAGTACCTGGTACTTCCTAAGTTTTCAATAAATGTTAATTCTCATGCTTGTTTCTATTTTTACTACTGCATTACTTTCATTCAATAACCCTATCAACAATCATATCCTTTATTTCCTTATGAAATTCATACACCCAGTTTTGAAGGAATATTCATGATTTCCTTTTCATTTTATGTTTGAGAGAAGACCACAACTTGGCAAGCCACCAATTGCAATTATGCATAGTAAAGCAGCTAAGTGGGGCCTTTTTTCTTGTGTCTATTTTAATGATCCATGTTATTTAGTTTTCATTTAAAATTTTTTTAAAAAAAATCTATGTAATTGTCCTACAATGAGGGGCTGAGTAACTGATAAATTCTCTGATTTCATGCAGTCACAGTAGCTCAGCTGGGCATATTTCAGAAGAACCTGCAATAAAAACTAAAATTGTTATTCAGGTCATGATGGCTAATGTTATGCAAATTGTCATACAAATAACTCAGGCAATGAATCTGACACATCGGCAATCTGGAACAGCGTGCAGTAAGAATACATAAAATCAAGGTGTTTCTTAGTCCCTGGAGGAATAGCTACTACAGTTCATGGTCCAGAGAGCTAAGCACATCTTAGGGATTTGGGAGAGCTGAGCTCCAGTTCTGCTTTCAGCATTTACTCCCTTTGTGACAATTTCCTTGTTGACATGGGATACAAAGAGTGCCTTGTCTGTTCTTTAGTAATGAAAATATTACCACAGAAACCTGTATTGTTCCCGCCCTTCTGAGTTCAAGGTGAGGTTTTTTTTTAACCCTTTAAACAAACCAGAAATATGTATCTTTTACCTCTTATCTTTCTCTGCCCTTGAAGGCATCTCTCCATTTGTTCACTATTTTGGTATGTGTACAATGTTTGTCATTTTCTCATTCATTATGTCTGAGCAACATATAGCCCCAGTTCAGCTTGCCAAAGCAGGAACATTGACTCCAACAATAATGCAACTATCTGCTTGAGTTCACCCTTGTAAACTCCAAAGAGTCCTTTTTTCAACTGCCTTACTTTGTATTTAGTTTTAACTACTAGACTAGAGATGACATTTTACTGTACAAAGTTATTTACTGAATATAATTTACCAAAATAAGTAGAACTAAATGATTAGCCTACTTTTAGAGAAGGAATGAATCTTAAGAGCTCATCTTAAAATTGAGGAATAACCTCACACATTTTGAATGACCCATCAAGTTACAACAGAAATTAAAATCCAAGTCTCCTAAAACGAAGCCAAGTCTGTTATAAAGCATTTCCTCCACACAATCAGAGTTTATTCAGGAAAGTGACTACGGTGTCTCCATAGTTGTATATTACAAACTCTAGATCATACAGGGGAGGCTAATCCCACAGGATAGATTAAAATTCCAGTTTGATCACTTTTAGACATGGAATTTTGAGCAAATTATTTCATCTCTCAGGTTCCTCATTAGAAAATCAGGATAATAATAATGCTTTCTTTATAGAACTCATATGAGCATTAACAAAATAATGTATGCTAATTCTATAATCATTTGATAAATATTAGCTATATATTGAAGTTATAAAGAGAAAAATAATATTTGCATTTCTATACATAGAGCCTGCAATTGAGTATCATTCACTATTCATGAGGGGGGACCCCCAAAGAATGGAACTTAATTATAAAAATGTGTGTATTTATTCTTACATATTTAAACTTCAGTACCTTTAAAGTACTCTCCATTTGATGCACTACGTCTATCAAGACTTTTTTTCCACTGCTCAAAACAGTTTTGAACTCATCAATTTTGATGCCTTTTAGTGCTTCCACCATTTTTTTTCACCTCTTCCAGATTGGCAAAATGCTTTCTTTTAGGACTTTTTTCATCTGTGGAAACAAACAAACAAGAATGTGGATTGGGGCAAGATCGAGTGAATAGGGAGGGTGAGGCATGAGAGCCATGCTATTTTTGGTTAAAAAACTGTTAAACACTCAGCACGGTGTGGGTGGGTGCACTAGTAAATCACCCATCATGAAATGGGCAAACATGTTGAAAGAATCTTCAAAAAAAAAATCACTGAAGCTGAATGTAGCATCTCACAACAATGCCAGCTGGTACACTGATACAGATGGGTCCCTAAAACATTCACCTAGTGGAGGAAGCCTGTACTACAAGGACCCTGCCTTTTAGAAGATAATTCGAGATTTTTTGTGTGTCCTCTTTCATATATTGATTATTGAAATGTTATAGTTTCTTCATTTCCCTTTCATGTTTCCTTCTCAGAAATATTTTTCTCATGTTAGATCTCTCCCTCTCCCTCACTTTCTCTTTCATCTCTCTCAGAGAAAAATACTATAGAAAGACATAATATATAGTATGATTTTAAAACTCGAGAAATGAGAAAGTTCAGGTTGAAAATCATAGTGGTTATAAATTTCAATTAAATCACTAATATCCAATTTGTTGTAAGTTGTTTGATGTTGATCAGGAGTAAAAAGGATCCTTTTAACTATAACAATATAAGAAATAATGAGAATTGAAATAAAATAAATTATCCCTACAAACTATTTAAAAATTGAAATTAAAATAAATTTTCACTCTGGTTTAATGAAAGGCATTATCAAGGGAAAAGTTATAGTATCTTTAGAAATGTAATGGTAGATATAAATAAAAAATATCAAATAGTATGACCTTTAGTATATTTTGTAATGTGTTTAAAGAAACCTAAGTTTAAAAATATTAATGATAAATATAATAATAATAGTAATGATAATAACAGATAGTACTTATTGAATGCTTACTATTGAATATATTTTAGAAACTAACCCACTTTACATTCATTATTCCACTAATAATTTAATCTGAAACAAATAATCCATCTTCTCCAATTGCTCTCCTCTCTAGATCTCAGAGGATATCAAATCCTGTCTACAGGATGCAACATAAAATTGTTACTTCATTGGAGTGGAAGTGCTGTCCTGGATTCAGTGGAGCAAAATGTCAGCTAAAAGGTATCATCCAATATTAATTTTGGAATAACAATTAAAAGCATAAAACTTCTGAAGAATATGCAGCTAGTTCCTGTAAAGCTGCATTTTCCCTTTTGAACCAGTTAATTAATATCTAACCAAACTACTAGGCCTGTTACCTTTTCAGAGCTTCCTAACTTAGTAGATATTATTAGAACCCTGAAATCTCATAAGCTGTTCTTTAAAATTCTCCCTTAATATTTATGTTAGTTTTATATGATTAATAAATGGAGATCTGATTAAATATCTTACCTTTTTCTTAACTATATGCTATGGAAGCATGCTTTATTAAAATACCAGAAATCCTAATTTTTAAATAAGTTATCATTAAACATGACCCTATGTAAAAAACAAAACAAAACAAAACAAAATCTATTTTACTTCCAGTTCAACTACTTGAAATAATATTGCGTTTATAAATGAAATTCAGTTTCAAAGAATACATACAAATATGGCATGGATTATTTTGGTTTTTAAAAAAATCCTAGTGAAGCCATTTTTCAACTGAGATTTTAAGGACTTTCTGGTGGCAAGGCTGATCAAACACATGGTAACCTGCTGTGGCCTAACATCCATGTGGCTATTATTTTGCTTATGGCTTTAAACAAGTTCCTTTTGAAAAATAATATATGGCATCAGAAACATACTTTAAATGAATGAATATTACAACCAAGACCATTAACAGTGGTAGGGAATTTAATCAGCAGTATAGGAGACTGTGATTAAAAAATAATGTAATTGTGGAGAAACCACTATGATTGATATTTTGAAAAAAGAAAGTTGTAATACAAAAGCAATAGGAACCATACAGTTTAGTTATGGATATTACGTATGGTTCTTCTAGCCCAATTCAATGAGAGTCTAAAGGTAAATTTCATTGTGATGCTATTTGTTCTGGGCCTAGCTCGATTTTCAGAGATGTTAAAAAAATTAAATACATTTTCAGAGTGTAGCATGAATATGTACTTCATTTATAATCAGATTAAGTAAACATTTAAACAAAATATTATCAATATCAAAAATATTTGGAAACAATATAATTTAATATAATCTTAAAAATCCCAAGTATGATACTATGTTCATCGGACTTTGGACTTCCATGATATGCACAGATATACTCTCAGTGGTAAAACATATTTATTTATAGTCTCTATTTGATAGATGGCTAAGAGTTCTGGGCAGTACTTAGAATTATATTTTTAAAGTCTAAAATTAGTTTTTATATTTCTCTTCTCACATGAAGAAGGATTTCTTAGAAATAGTAATTCCATTATTATTTCTTAGAGATTCAAGTATTTATTCACAGCGTGTGTTTCTAGGAATTTAGAATGTCATTGCGCATCCTAGTGCAGATAGAGGCTGAATGCAGATGCGTGGCAGGAAGCAAAGCCTATGACAAAGAATGTCAGGGGCTCCAGCTGACGAAGACTGCTGTAGCTCAGGTTTTGTTTTTTTATACCTACTATAGTTGACCCTTGAACAATGCAGGGGTCCGGGGAGCTAACACCTTGCATAGGTAAAAATCCATGTGTAACTTCTGACTCCTCCAAAACTTAACTGGAATCATCCCTTTGGTGTTCTCAGGGGATTAGTCCCAGGACTCCCACAGAGACACCCAAATCCACAGGTGCTTCTCTTATGTAAAATGGAGTAACAGTGCATATTGTGGGCCCTCTGCATCTGGGGATTCCAAACCACCAACTGAAAATACTGTTTTCCATTATCACCAAGCTCTTATTATGTGAAATGTTAAAGGGACTTATCTAAGAAAAAAAGATCAAAAACTATGAACAGTAAAATGACAACAAACTCACAACTATCAACAATTGAACCTAAAAAACATAAAAATTAAGCAAACAACTAGAAAAAGAACAGAATCACAGAAATAGAGATCACATGGGTGGTTATCAGTGGTGAGGGGGAGATACAGGGACTAAGAAGCATGATTGGTAGGCACAAAATAGGCAGGGGGAGGTTAAGAATAGTATAGGAAATGGAGAAGCCAAAGACCTTATATGTACAAGCCATGGACATGAACTGAGGGGGGACTGCTGGAGAGTGGGGGTGTGTAGGGAGGAGGGGGATAAAAGGGAGAAAAAAATGGGAACTATAAAAGCATAATCAATAAAATATACTTAAAAAACAGAAAATACTGTTTTCCATCTGACTGTTGGATACAGAAGGATACAGAGGACAAAGTGTATTTATTGAAAAAAATTTACATATCAGTAAACCTACACCATTCAAGCCCATTTTGTGCAAGGATCAACTCTAATTGATTTTTAATTACTATGGTAGAATATATATACCTTGGAAGAAAAAACAGAAGAATTTTATCATTATAAATGTGCACACAAGAAACAAGACTAGTTGACAGTTCTGAATATCTACTACATACAGTCATTTCCCTTTTCTCAAAGTATTATGTGAAATATTTAAATTGAATTCAAATAGTTTAGTTTTGAGTATTTAATAACACCTTGTGTTCTAAGTGACAGCAACCTGTGGACACCATTAATACTAGGTTTATAAATTGTTACCTTGAATCTCCATTAACAATAATGTCCCAGACAGGGACCTTTTGTCACAATACTGTAATTAAAATTACTCATCATTCAGATTCAGGTATCTTCTGATTAATCTGCTATGGAAAGCTCTTTTTTCTATTAAAATCTATAATAGGAATAATTTTCTGATGGCCCACTGTATGATATTGTCATACAATTAATTCTAATATCACTGCAATTCCAAAGGAACCTACTGGTGCTCCCTACAAGATTCTGACCATCTTGCTCTTCAGTTTTATTGCAGTTCAAGAGGCTGAATTTTTAATGAGTGCAATTGATGCACTGGTAATATCAAGAACTACTGTGTCCCTTTGTCCCTTCAACAATTCTTCATTATCTCATCTATCCTGGGGTTTTTTTTGTTTTGTTTTGTTTTACATATTTTTCCTTTCTGATTCCTACCCAATTACATATCAAGTTCCCCCTCCCCTTCTTATCACACTTTATATATGTGCCAACAGTCTTTTTTTCTTATATGGGAGGAAAAATTGGCAGGTTTCCTTTGATAACACTCTCCAGGCTGTCTCAAATGACCAGAGGCCAGGTATATGGCAAGAATAATCACTATAGCTGATCCATTCTTTAAATCCCTCTGGGGCCTTCAAGGGTTTGGAATAACCTGGTTGTGCAACTACCACCATAATTACTTCAGTGTTAGTCCTTCACATCAGGAGGTTATTTTACTCATAAAAAAATGGTAAAATACTACATAAATTTTACAAATCTCTGCTTTCCCAACAAGTTTCCTCCTCACAAACAAACTAAATTTTACAAAATAAAAATAATGATTTCCTTTAAACTTATATGGCAGTAGGAAGATCTTTTTTTTATTATATAAAGAGATTAATAGATCAGGAATAAATTGAAGCTGCTAGCAATTATACTCTTTTACTTCTCTACTTGGTACCCCTCTGTCTTTTTCTTTCTCCCTCTGCCTCTGTATGTCCATCTCCAACCTGTTGGGGAGGAACGCAGTGATTCAAAATTCGTGGAACAGCAACAACAACAACAAAAAATCCATGGGACAATTCTTCCTGTGTCTTATTCTATAATATGCTGTTTATAATATTACTGAACTTCCACATATGCTCTTTTTGCTGCAACTCAGAAAGTAAAAATTCTGATAATAAGTTCCAGATAAGATTATTAAAATATTAGTCATACTTTCAAGAGGAAACCAGTTTTTAAAAAGTCTGAATAGAATTTTGTTGAAAGGAGGAGCATCAATCTAATGGCAATGTAACAGTTTTGATATATTTTATATTTGTTATACTTTTTGAAGGTCAGATAGTTTGTCTTCAGAAAGGAATCTAATTTTGTGATATCATATCTGAGATTTTTTTAATGTTAGCAACAACACACTTTTTAAACTAATTTTTATAATATTTGCAATAATATAATTTCCCAGTAGATGTCTCTAAACTGTTCTGAAATAGAACAAGGAAACTGTGGTCTTCTCTAGTGACATGAAGAACAGAAATTTAAGATCAAATAATGCTAGATTAGAGAGGAAAAAGAACGACTTCTTTGCAAATCTGTTAAAAAATAATCCAGTCAGCTTTAGTCAGATCCTCTACATAGGAAAAGGTAAAAAAAGAAAAGAAAAAATGGTATTTTATAAAATTATACTTATATAAAGTCTATCACAGATATCCTAAATGCTGAAAAAATGTAATCATGCTGTTCCTGGAATAAACTGATCCCTACCATATGTAATGAGTATATGAAAATATTTCACTTCATAAAAACTGTGAAATAATTCAATAAATTATGTAAGAGCTATTGTAACTAACATTTTTTAAATGGGGCTTCTCCAATAAGATTATTTTTAAATATTACTTAAATTAATATGAAATGAAAGTTATATTTAAAACAGAAAAAATCCCTATATTTCTTATATTTTTTGCTTGATTCTTCCAAGTGGTGACTAATGTTCTTTGAGAAAGAACATTACCTCCTATAAACATACTGCTCAATAAAATCAAAACATTTCTTCAAAAAACACCATCTACCTTAAGTTTTTGTTGCTCTAAATTGCCTAATTCGATTTAACTCCTAAATCTCAGTAAATATATATGTACTGAACTCTACCATGCAAACATTCACTTAATATTGCAGAATTAGCTGGTAACCTGTTATCAAGTTACACAGGAAGGTTTCTGGTTCTAGGGGAGAGAGAGAAAGCTTCCTCATTACTGAATTGCCATTAATGACTTCCTCCATATGTATAAAAGGTCTGGAAGGGGGAAAAAAACATTCATAAATAACACCCGTCTAATTGGGAAGGAAGGAAAGAAGGGAGGGAGGAAAGAAAATTCACCTAGTATGTAAGCTGCTGCTCTTGACATCTGCCAAACTTGTTTTCTTCTCTAAGTCTAGGGCAAAGAAAAAAGAGTAATTGTATTGGAAAAAGAG